TAATCTCAACCCTGTCTCACCAGATAAAATAAAGCCCCTAATCAGTGACCGAAACGGGTCACCGGGGCGGAAAATAAAGTCTGGCCGGGGTTTAATTTCAACCCCGTCTCGCCAGACAATAATACTCTTCACTACCATGGCAGGGGCGTGACTCCCTGGGACCTGAGAATAATAGAGATACAGACGGAAGTAGAATCTTACAAGCGAAATGGCTTGCCGTCTCTTAATTGGGGGAACGTTCTCAGGTCCTGGCTACCAATGGCCGAAGGGCTAGGGTCTGTATAAAATACCGACCGACCAGCCTCAGCCTAGACTCACAGGCTCGCTAGACTTCTACTGCCCGGTCATACATTTTTCACTTCGTCACGAGCTCGACCGATTTCTCGGCGGCGGTGCCCCACTTCTGCAGCTTTTCGAGCATGAGCTGGGCGTCCAGCGCCTTGCCGGTTACCAGCACCTGCTTGGTTTCGATGTTGCAGTCCACCTTGCTGACGTTCTCCAGCTTGGTCAGGATCCGCGTCACCGCGCCGGAGCAGCCCTCACAGGTCATACCGACCTTAAATTCCACCACCATGTCGTCGTCGCCCGAAGCCATCTTGTTGCTGTTCGTTGCTTCTTATTCACGTAACCGCAACTGGTTTACGCGCTGTTGAAAATAAATGCGGTGAATGCTTCCGGAGACGGCAGAACTAATGTCACGCGATTATTTCGTGGTACCACTATCACAAGAGCCTAGTCTGAAGACAAGGTCGATATTGAGCTGTAGTTTGTATTTGGCCGCACGAGGACAGTTACAACAGATCAGAAGTTTTATTCGGTTCCGCTCGACTGAAAGAACTATTCCATATTGAGTGAGTATCCATAGGAACCCACGGCGCGCAGTGTCAACAAGAGCGAAAGGAGCTAAAAATGGGCCACCAAAATCGATTACGATCCCGCTCGGAAGTAGAAGTCGGTGGTGAAAAGAGTATCACGAAGATCAAGATCCATCCTCGTCAGACAGCCAAGCGGTGGGGGAATCTGAATCTAGATCCTTCTGGTATGTCTGAGCGTGATCATGATTAACCACGCTGACTTTTTATCGCCCTTCCACCTTGCGCGAGGTGTACAAAAGGTAGTCTGAATGGACTTCATGATCGCACGGTTACCAAGTGTCTTAGTACAACCGAGATCATTGATGTAGTGATGACTTCATCGGGTGCTCCTTGTGATAGACATATCGATATCTAGAACATCTCCGGCGAGAATGAGAAACCATACTGACAGCTACAACAAGCGAAGCAGGTAAACCAGAAACAGCGACATGGAAGCAACTTCGTTGCGCGCGTCAAATACTTGAGTGCATGATAGACAAGGAAATTCTCTCTATCACATCTCCAGTGGATCTGCTTCATTCTTTTTCCACAGCGATCGCAGCCGCTTTGCGGAGCGGTTCGACGCGAACTCGCAGAGGCGGTGGAGACGCAGCACGTCTTGGTCACAGAGCCTCTCGTCCTGATTTGCGGGGTCCACGTTGTCCACCATGTGGTTATTTCTACAACTAGGAGCGTCCTTGTCCTCAGACAGCTGTCCCTGCTTCGGCATTTGAAGTGATTCTGATTCCAACGCGCGAAGAAAGATAGCGGCCGAAGCTGTTGACGCAAAATGGTCGAACTCGTTCAGATAGGCGAGGTGCTGTGCGTTCAAGATGGCTTGCGTCTTCTCCTTCCCGAGCGTCAGTAAATGGGCGGGCAGTGCCAACTCCTCGTCGCACGTCCCGTCGATCAGGAAAGCAAGGTCAACGGACGAAGTTGGGGTCCTCGCGGGAGGGTTGTTTGCGTTGGCAAGATGGATTTCCTCTTCGTGGTCCACCACCTGAGCGGAAAATTGACGTTCCAAGCCGTCTTTTATTTCTCCGCTTCCAATGGCTGCTTGATTCAACTCGACCAAAGGTGAAACAGCGAGGTTTAGCGGCACAGAATGAAGATCTACTTGTTCGGAGAAATCTTTCGGTTTGGTCTGCTGTGAATTATCCTCCTGAGAAGTGCGATTTGCCGCGAGTGGAGAGGACAACATGCCCCGCCAGGCAAACGGCTGCTCGCGGCAATCATCATCGTAAAACGAAGGCGCGGAGGACATCAAGAGCCTTGGTGCATTCATGCTTTCTGCGCCGGCTGCGTCGCTGCTCGTCACACCTTCGGCTTCGCTCCCGCCTTGCCCCCCTGCGTCTTTGTCCGTCTCGTCTACTTCTCCCGCCGGGCTGCCGCCGTCTGCTTGTTCCTCCATGCCAAGGGGTAGCAAACCCTTTGCTTTTTCGAAAAACCTCTCCAGCCATACAGTAATCGCGTATTGCACGAAACGCTGCGATATCAAATGTAAAAATGTTTGGGTCTGGAAACTTGTGATGCTGGGTGGCGTCTCATGATGAGGCCACAAATGCTGGCTCAGCATGACAAGTTTCTGAGCGTCTAGGTGTTGCCTATTCTGCATGACAAAGACAAACTGCGTTCCTGCATCACAGAAAAGGGGAGCTCTTGGGTAACGTGCATGACAGATTTAAGAGTCATGCCAGACAAGCATGACAAACATGCATTCTTCCAGACCCAGACATTTTTGCATTTGATATGCGAAACCTCGGCCTGTGGTGCTAGTTCCTCTAGCACTTGCTGCAGAAAATCCGTGTGCGCGAGGATCTCCATCGCGTAAGCGTAGCGGGTGATAACGTCGTTTGAATTTGTCTCAACGTCGCTCTCCTCGTCGTTTCCCTTCACTCCTCGATAATTTTTTGGTTCTCTATTTCTTGCCGTGGTTCCTGAAGTACAGGAGGTTCTCGCGCTTGTACTTGATGTAGTCCCAAGACCTGTACTACGATAAGCATCGAGGGAAATCCTTGTTGGCACTGCAGATGAGGTTGTTGATCCTGCTGACTTACGGTGGCCGCCCGCCTGCCCTTCATCATCATCATCATCCCCATTCGAAGATGCCATAACCTGCAGGTTTCGCCACAGCGTATGCGCAAAAGCCTCCCCCGAAGAACCAGCCGTCCCTTCTTGGTTCGGTTTTTTCGCGAGGCCTGAGTCGATTTTGCTCACCACATCATCGGTGGTGTTCTTGATCGTCCCCGCTCCTGAAGATTCGTCAGCAGAAAGCAACCCTTGCCGCAAGTGGCGAATCTGCTGGCGCAGGACTTTTAGACCCTCAACGTCGTACAAAACTGACGAAGGCGGTACTGGTGGTGCCGTAACTGTTGGACTTGGACAAGCGGGAGATGAAGTTGCAGCTGTTGAGCTTTGTAATTCTTTCCCACCACGAGGTGGACCACCACCTGCGGCCTCAAGAACCGCCTTTGATGCATGTCGTCCTTTATTTGTCCCACTTGCTGATGAAGAACCACCAGCCGCCGCTGCGTTCTTTCCGCCTTTGTTGAGGCCTCCAGTCGTGACAGCAGCACCCCGACTTCCACGTTTGTTCACTACGCCATGCTGTGATTTTTGCAGTCCAGGTGCGCTATTTCCAGCGCGACTTTGAGGGGGCACGGTTTCCGCTACAAGCAGGCCCTCGGGGTCGAGCTGCAGGGCGGAGTCCAGGAGGGCGTGGACTTGCGCAACTTCGTCCTCCTTTACTTGTCGCTCCCGGCATTTTTGTTCTTGGAACACGCGCCGACGGTGCTGCACCAGAGCGACGAGCTCCCGGGTCAGATCGTTATTCTGCTCGAGCGCCTCCCGACGGCTCTGCATCAAAAACGCCTCCTTCTCGAGCGCCTCGGCAAAAAACTCGAGATGCGCAGCGACGACTGCGGGTCGTGATGCAAGGGTAATATCATGATCTGGGAGCAAATCGCGGTCGACATCATGATCATGATTTATTTTCGTGGGAACTGGCATTTTGTTCGACGCACGTTCAAGTGGAGGTCCTAAAGTGACAACGAGAGGACGCAGCCCGCGCTCTTTCTAGTGTGTCACAATTTCAATTCGTGGGCGTCAACTCGCGTATCACGGTATGTTATGCCTCCGAACACCTAGTTTTTCTTATGGCGATCTTGGGCGGGAAAGAAATTCACAAGTGAGAGGACACAGCAAGTGCATGCACCACAGAACCAGAAGTGGAAAACATCGAGTAATTAGATCAGCAACGAATCCGTTATTCAGCCAGAAGCGTTCTTGACAGTAAGCTGCCTGGTGAGGACCACGATGAGTTTACACAGAACCTAACCACGAACAAGTCCACGACAAAAAGGTGGGGACGGCTCCTCGACGGTAGGCGACCGACGGTCGCCTACATCTTCGGGTTCTTGAGCGAGAAGAAAAGAATGCTGCATTGCGTCTAACTCTGAATAAATTTCGCGTCTTCTCTTCAATGACATTGTACTTCAATGAGGAACAAACAAACTTCTTGCTATGTTTTTGAAAGTCTTCTTCTAAATAAGTTCTTCTTGCACAGGGACTCAGCACCCGCAAATACAGATTGATATCCAAATCTGCGGCGTCGATTTTTCGGAATGAAGATCGATAACAAGTCGCCTCTGGTGCGAATCCCCGGGGATCATATGATCGTGTCACAGCACCCTTTTCAGATACTGCAGCCACTTAAAGTGTTGCCGTAGACCATCTTTTCTGATGTTGGACGACTCGTGCTTACCTGATTGAGGTTATCGTACTCGTTGAGGTTGAGAATCGACATCGAGAAAAGAACATGATATATGTTGATATTGTCTGGATAATGCGCCTCAGCAATTGGCAATGGTAACGAGATGACTTCTGCGTACGACATGATCAGTAATTTTATTTCGTTTCCTAATCCAGCAATACAAGCAAGCAGGAAGTAATGCACCTTCTTCCGTCATACCGGGGTCTGTAACTGCGGCGGCCGCCTCGCTCGTTCGCACGGTGCCCAAACCTATATTTATTGAAGTCAGATTGTGTTTTGCTTTTGCAAAGGTTTTTCTTTACTTATACATGTTGTTCGGACAAAAATAGTCTCCTTTGTCACTAGAGAGCGCAACAAGGGTGATCAAAACTTTCGCTCCTCCGGTAATTTTGCTGCACAAAGAAAAGCACTTGTTACGTTCGTGCCCCGTTGTCTTTTCCTCCATGTGGTCCCTTGCTACCGTTCTTGCCTTTACCTTTGATATCCCCCTGCTTTCCACTCTTCCCTTCGAATCCCTGTGACGAATTCATTTTGCCATTTTGTCTCGAATGCTCACCCTCACCCTGCGTGTGCCAGTATTACATTTACTAAATGAAGAAATCCTACACACAGAGGAATCCAGCATAGCAAGTAGAGCAAGATCGTACTACAGAACGCCAAGATGAATGTGTCAGCTACTTACGTACCTTTCCTTTCCCTTTATTTCCTTTCCCCTGACTGGCCTTGCCTCCTTTCATACCACCCTTGTTGATACTACCGCCTCTCTGCATGTGGTAGTCTACTGCAATCTTTTGCCCCTCGAGCATCGAGTTGTTTTTCCGTTCAATGGCGTCCTCGACCGATTTCAAGGCGCTTTTACCGCCCCGGAGGCCTTGTTCGTCTTACTTTGAAGTAAACAAAACCCAAAAGAATTTTCTCCCCAGCACTTTCGCGGCACTGGATCCAGCGGAGACTGGCCTCCTGCACCGCCCCGCACACACTGAAATGCTGGCGCAAGCTCTCCGAAGACGTTTCCGGAACGGTCCGAAGATTTTTGACCACCACGGTGTAGCAGTGCTCCGGAATCGGACGTACTTTCCACGGTTTCTTGTCGGGCTGATGCGGTAGAATGTTCATCTTTGTCGAGGCAGCGTAGTTCGTCTGTACGTTATTAACCCTCGAGGACGAGGAGGAAGCACCAGACTGATTAAAATTCAACGCAAATTGTCCAGGATCCTTCTCCAGTGCTTTTTTCGCTGCGGCGTTGGTCTTGAAGTAGCAAAAGGCAATCGGAATGCCGTCCTCGTTCTGCGCAGCACTGAATGACTTGCTTTTCTTCCCTTTCGTCTTCTTTCCTTTCGCACCAGCACCACGCGGTGGAACTACAGAGAATACAGCCCTTCTGTCTTCTGGCCGAGGGCTGTCCCAACAGTCGGCAAAGAAGTCTTTCAATTTCTCCTGGTTACGCTCGTTTTTCGCCTCCTGCGCATTCCCCGCCCAATTCTTAACCTTCACTGCACAGAACCCCTCGGGCAGCTGCTCGTTGTAATGGTGATTCTGTTTTCCATTTCCTCCCTTACGTCCTGGCTTCTCGTCATCTAACTTCGACTGTTTCGTCGTCCCTTTGCCTCCTGCAGCACTTCTTGCTTTATCATTTTCTCGCAGGACCACCGTCTGCCGCTCCCCATTCTCGTTCCGCGCAAATTTGGTTCGCTGCTGATGATTAACATCATGGGGGCGCTTCTTGGAAGAGAAAAAATCCTCCCCTATGCTGGCGCTGGAGGAACTTCTGGAGCGTCCGCGCACCATCTTTTTCTTTTCTCCGATCTTCCTACAGGCCAATGTTGTGAAAAAACTTATTTCTTTTAGGTTTACTGTGTGAAGATGCTCAAGGTCGACAAGAGTTTCTGCTTCATCGGCTAAAAATTACACCACGAAGTCGACAGGCCGCTGCTCAACAGGTCGTAGATCGCGATCTTTTCTTCAGCGTATCGTTGTCGTGCTCGTCCTCCTCCCTTTGTTTCACGAGCCCCACCAGCAACGTCTCGGAAATAGACCTCTACCCGAGCAGCCTGTGCGGATGCGGTTCAAGATGGCCGAGCTGCAGGGACCGTAGAAGTCAAAATCCTTGCAGAACAGTTTTTTTGTCTTTACATACTGTACACGCCGTGCTAGCACTGCTCAAACCATCTCTCGTTGTGCAGGTAGGGCTAATAAAAAATCGAGTATTATGATTATCATGGAAAGCTGCCAAAAAATCAGAAGTGCGTCTAGTTCATCGTCGGATGAGCTACAAGGGTCGAACAATTATTTGCTGTCTCTATCGTATCAATCATACATCAAGTAGTTGCAGATCGAAGGAGCACGCTTCCCACTACTACAAGCTGCCAAAAAACTTCCTTCGTCAGTGACAATTATCTGCGTTTCGAAGTCTTTGCGTTTCAAATCGTCTTTGCAATTCAGCGAAAAATCTCAGTCCAAACAGGCAAAAAACCTGCAGTGAATGTGATGGTGCTGTCTATGATTTCAGTTCAGTTCAGTTCGACGCATTATTAGTTAGTTAGTTACGGGCGCGGTGGCGGTGGCCTCTTACCTCAAAGCTCGATAGACAGGGGCAGGGAACAACGCAATGCTATGCGCCACGGGCACACGACTACTAACAGGCAGTGTGGACGCCTCCGGACAGCAGCAACTGCCCAGCATACAAAACTAAGTTATCAAACTCCTACCCTAGGGACCTGCTAGACTTTTCCTCTAACCCACTGGGGCGCGTATGTAGCTCGGCGGGGCTGGGTGCAGCGCATACAAACTCCTGCTGCATAAGCTACTTCTTTGCCCAAGTTCATAGTGAGCTTCTTTTTTTCCGTGCTTTGAACTTCTTCTTCTTAACTTCGTGCTTTTTGCTTTTACTTTCTACTGTAGTTTTTGAAAACAAAAAAACAAGGGTCACTGAACTACGCACCTTTTTTCCTTACAATATCAAGTTAAGCCATGGCCAGGGCGTAAAAAACCGAGAATCGGAAACCGAGAATCGGAAACCGGAAACCGAGAACCGAGAATCGGAAACCGAGAACCGAGAATCGGAAACCGAGAGCCGAGAATTGGAAACCGAGAACCGAGAACCTGAAACCGAGAATCGGAAACCGAGAACCGAGAATCGGAAACCGAGAATCGGAAACCGAGAA